AAAAAAATGCGACGACCGGCCGGAATCGTAAAGTTTTCCGGAAAAAATCTGCGGCCCCCGGCGGCTCGCGCGGTTTTATAAATCGTTAGCGCGATAAAACCGCCATTATGCCGGCCGTTTATTACAATGTAGCCGCGGAAATTAAATTTTAATGCGATATTTATATGTGCGTGCGCTTGAGGGTCGCGCAGGGCTTAAATTTCAATCAAAGACGGTCGTTCGCTAAGTGAAAAACGACCGATCGCGCATTAGGGCCCATTGTTAACGTTGTTACAAGATATTGGTCGGTTTAAGCGAACGAAATCGGATACTTGAATCCGCACGAAGAACGGGCGCCAATGGGGCAATACTTAAAGGATACTGTCGGTCAGGTTTACTCTTTTACGAATAACCTCTAATGGTTTGATGGTAATAATATGTTCAGCTATTTTTATTACTAGTTCTCAACTGAAAAAATCGATTGACGCCTGTTGGTGACGACACTGACTACAGAAGACAGCAGAAATCTGACGTATATAAAAAAAAACGTCGATTTTACGTGCCAAAAAGGCCGTAAAACGGAAGACGTAATTTTTCGGAAACAATGGAGCTCCGAAGGACACGCTCTTTAAAAAGATACGAGCGTGCAACGCGTCTGGACACGTACGGACACACGTATTCCGCGAAAACGGTGGCCCCATCGTGCGTTCGGTCCGCGCCCCGCGTCATAACCTTTTCTTTCGCCGATGATTTTAATTGCGTTTCCAGCTATTTAACGGGTGTCCCCCTCGGGCTAATTAAAGAGCGACGCGTCGCGACTATAATGAAATAATGGCAGTCCCGGGTGCTTTTGCCAACTTTGCTCGGATTTTTTCCGAAATCGAAATGTTAAATTTTTGGCGTAAGGCTCAGAATTTCGCTCGCGATCGAAAAATAACCCGCGTCTATAATAGAATTTCCGCTAATTGTATCGCGCCCGACCCGACCTCTATAGTTTCCTTTGTCTGCCGGTGGTTGGCAACACGTCTTTAAAGTCCGGAAGGCGACTTCTGCGGTCCGTGATTTGTAGCCTAGCTGCCAGGCTCGCATTCAGAGATATTTGCGATCCGCATGGCTTCGATGTACGGTTGGTTGCGGAGCATTCAGAAAAATACTTTAGATTGTTTATATTGAAACTAATCATTTTTGTTCTTTTCGTTTCTTTCTTTAGTTTAGTTTTCTTTTTTCTTTTTTCGTTTTATTTTATTCCTGTTTAGTAGGTACAGGTTCTCTTCGAGTACCAAATAAATTCTTACAAATCTGATTAGAGCCAAACGTATGTATTTTTTATTGCGAAAAGGTGTATAACAGATAGATTTATCGATTTGGTTGATATTTAGCAGCTTCAGTATGTTTCTAAATGTCCTATCTTTGTTATCAATAAAGACTGTTATTATTATCATTGTTATTTACAGAATAAAATAATTTACAAGAAAATTAAGTAAAACCAATTAACAAAAAAGAAAACAGGAAATCAATTTAATTTTAATTAATTTTAGCAGAATGAAGACAGGTGAAATATGTATATCCGTGTATAAACGAAGCAAAAATTGCCAATATATTTTGCACAATCTAATATCGAATATTATCGGAAGATAATTTGTGCATAAATTTACCGCATGAAGTTGATTTTCTGAAGATCAATTTTGTTCATTGAAGACGACCAAGTTTTTCTTCTTACCGACAAGTAATTTAGGTTTGGGTAGAATTTGAACACCGGATAAGGTAGAAACGTTTTTCGAATGTTCTCTATCTTTTTATACACAGTGTCCTGACGCGTCTAAATGCCAAAATTACATTTTTGAGATAAGCACATGCGTCGGGACACGTACGACAATTATAACGCCCAATGTTAACACATCAGAAAACGGCACGTGAAGCGTGACGTCCTCTGCGTTGTTCTACATGAAAGGGTTAACAAACAGAGCGGCGCATCATAACAATTTTCATCGTGAAAAGACTTAAATGTTATGTAAAATGTATTTTTTATTTTAAAATATGCTGATGTGGGCGAACATATAAGTTTTCATGGAGTTGAGACTAACCAAACTGACCAAAACTAACCTAAACACTCAGATCCTTTAATTGATCCCCGCAGTGTAGTGGAGTCATTGGCCAAGAATATGGGCATGTGCTGTCATTACAAATCATGTTTCAAACAATAAGATCCAGTGGCGTTCAAGTCTCACGATGACAGGTAAATTCGCCATTTTATAAATATGCTGCTGTTCAATTTTCAGGGAAAACGGGTTAATTGCGTGGAGATCGCGATTTAGAAAGAAAATGATCCAAGGCCCGGGTCAGTGGGTACTATTTAGTTGCATTAGGAGCACTACATTATATAACGGACCACTGTTAGTATGATAAATACAGTTTTTAGGAGCTTTGGTTCATATCTTAATTCGAAAACTATTAATTGGGATTAATTTTAATATTTCTACATTGGCCTAAAAGCTAAGCTTCATTTATTGACTTATTGACGGCATTCGCCTTTAAACGTCCAAGTTTCGTCGCGGACTTCTACAGCCCGTAATCTTTTTTACTCGGTCAGGGCCGTACTTCGATGTTTGTGGTCCGTACCGCTCAGCTGTAGCATTGCTCGCGTTACCCGAAAAATCGCGTTTTGAAGAAAACGGAACCCGATATAGGCGAGGCAACGACCGCGTCTCGTGAGAGCGTATATAAAACGCGGGTCTAATATAAAACACACGCGCACAGGATGTCTGTTTTTGAAATTTTATCTTTTTTATTTCCCCATCATGCTTCTGTCGGCTTTTGAGGTTCGATGATCGTAAAAGCGGCTTTTTGATACGTTTCATATATTTTCACGTTACGACCGTTTGTAATAAGATAAATTCGCTTAGTAATTCGCATTTAAGAAAACTCCACTCCTAGACAGCAACATAAACAACGATTCATAAATCACGAACTTTGTTTTTTTTTTTTTTCGGGAAAATTTGAGATATTTTTTAATTTGTTTTTTACGAACTAGTTCTAAATCAAAAATTAGTTTATTCCAAAAAGCAATCAAATCAAATTAATCACACTTTAACATTTTCTTCATAATTTTCATTTGCGCTCATTTTTTCCGATTATATCTTATTTTTTAATATTTTAATCGTTTTTTTTTTAATTTAAAGTTTTTCTTAATAAATTTCACATTCCTGTTGTGATGCACACAGGAAAGGAGGCAAAACTTTCAAACACCGATCTACGATTAGACGCCTAACTTAAATTAAAAAATTATAGTGTGCAACACACTCACAAATTTGACCCGCAACACGTGACTAAAGCGTCTTTTATCAAACTTGCCGCATAATACACTTTGTTTGCAGATTACTAATAGCTTCAGTCTTTGCATAAGCCTTTAAAAGCACAATTTAATTTTTAAATATTTTAACGGGGGAATTATATTTTAATTTTTTTAGCCCAAACAAACCCATTCAAGAGCCTTGAATATCCTTGTCAAAAACGTTGTACTTTTCAACAACCGCTTTTGAATTCGGGTGAGGGGGGCACTTAAGTTTAATATTCCTCCGCGTAAAACTATTGAACAAACGTTTTCCAATACCTAGTCAAAAGCATAGACAATTTGAAAAGGGCCGTGCCGAGCAATGAAATATCCGGATTTTTCAATTTAATATACGAACGCATATACACACGCACTTGTACAAATAATTCCAAAGGGTTAAGGATTGGAGCGCGATGACGTGGCGAGCGGGTCAGGACAGGACCGGCCCCGAAAGATTCCACCCGCCCCAGCGAACTTAAATTTAGAACGGAATATACACATATTTTTTTATTTTGGAAACGATTTTAAATGTTTTTTTCTTGTAAAGTCAGAAATGGCACAATTCTCCTGGATTTCTATTCTAGGAAGGATTAAGCTGGCTATATCGATGTCAGTCACTACTTTCAAGTCAAATTTTTCGTCTGCGCTGCTTATATAAAATTACTTCTAAAAGCGGATGTATTATGTAACAAGATTTAATAATAATATTAATTCTAATTATTTAATTTTAAATTTATATTTTTCTTCACTTTTTTTTTATATAGGCTAGATAATTTTTTCTCTCTCATTATTTGGACACAACACAAGGTTAAGTCCCTAGTTATTAACTAACATTAATTTATTAAAAAAGTTAAAACCAAACGTATTTTAAGGAACCCCAATGACTTAATCGTCAAGACTATTAGCGAAAGTAATTATAGAAACCCGCTTGCTAATTTATAGAAGACGGAAATTAAATTTTAAACAAGTCACACTTCACCTCTGCGTGTGGAAACCTATTTCGCACGTTCGTTGGCCAATTTTTACTTTTCCGTGCGATCTCAATCCGGCCCTGCCTATTGAGCTTATTTAATTTTAATTCGTTCTCTTCAGGCTCCGCAGCAGCAGCGTTCGAAATACGAATTTGACCCTTTTTAGAATACTTAAAAAAACATCTGGCCGGAGCTTTGAAGAGGCTTCCCGATGAAAGAGTTGTACGGGTCGATTGTTGCGTCATTTTATACTTGTACGTATACAGAATATGGAGGCGAATGTTCTCTGTTCATTATTATTTCTTAAAACTCTGCGGGACAAAATAATGTACACAAACAAACAAATTTTTAAATTTACAGGGTGTTTCATAAGGGCGCAAAGACAAGTAATAATTGTTAATTGTTTTTGAATTTTAATGTCATATTGCCATTTTTTTTGAGAAAATTTGGGGAACACTTAGAAACACATGCTTTTCTGTATCCTTCAATTTGCAGTCTTTATAACGAAATAAAATGTATTGAGTTCATTTAATTATGTCACACAGGAGTTTCCTAAAATTTTCAAAACTTATATATATTAAATAAATATTATAAATATTAAACAAAGTCCTGAAGAAGTCGAAAACCGGAGCGTCCTGTATATAGGGCGAAGAATGGACACCTCGTTAAGGTCGTATTGCTCGGAAAATCGAAAAGCAGTGGCGGGCGGTGGAACTTACCGTTCAGGGGGGATGGTTCCAGTGGCGGCGGCGACGCGCTGTCAGTCTTACGGTGGTGGGAAAACTGGAAGGCGTTTCCCGGAAAAATCGCCTGGAACAGACGCAACGCGCGCTTTTAGACAAAAAAAAACAGCGATGCACGTGAATTAAAAAAGATGGCGGTCGGTCCACTCGCGCTGAATTACTGACGGACGCGCGAAATAAATTAAAACCGCGCTCGTTTTATTTTATTTTTTTCGTAACACTTTGTGTACATTTTTAATGAACCAAAGACGTAATATTCCATTAAAGACTTAATTGCCATTCCAGATCTCGTCGCCATTAAGTACAAATCGTTCCCATCATTATATTAAAAATAAATTGCGGTGTTTTGACGGTCGCCGGTCCGGCGACGTTGCCGGCGCGACCACGAAATCCTCCGTGCCGACGAAAAATTCGGCATAACATAGCAACCAGAAAAGTAAAATATATGGAAACCGAATTAATTTTAAATTAATTTAAATATATGTAAGTTATAAAAAAGAGATAGAAGAGGTAGAAAAAAATCGACGTCTGGCAGTTTTGGTTAGGTTGTCGAACGCTTGCCGTTAGTGTCAAGTATTTCCTGCCGGTGGACTCTCCGATCTGCATAGTTTGCTGCTTCAAACAATAGTGACAAAATAAGTTCTTGGATCTGGTTATATTAGATATACTAAAATTGAATGTTGATAACAGTAGATCAACAATTGAGGCAGCAATGCCTAAATATTTTTTGTGGATATTTCTTATATTACCTGTAATAAAAACCATATATATATTATATATTTATATATTACTGGAGGCGAGCAAAATACAATACAAAATTTTATATGCGGTGTGAGACAAATCAGCGCTAAACCAGGAAGTAGAACCTAAAGTTTTCCAGATGCAAATATTTTTACCTTTAGAATTTCACATATTTCACATCGAGGGTTCTGCTGAACTGAGACCTCGATGCAAAGCAGTCTCAGTGTGAAATTGATATATAAACGCTGGGTTATTCGGCCACTATGACAAATTACGAAACATGTCAAGTTTTAACCTTTCCAAAAACTAAAAAAGTTGAACAGATATGGCGGATGCTTAATAGCATTGCAACAACGTATGAGTACACCTTTCAAATTTCCTTATATTTTCATATTTTTCGGGATAGCGGCAACGGCGCATTTTTTCCTCTTTCTCTCTTCCGGAGACGATTAGGTTGTTTTTTTTTTTCGTAGAAAACGCACAAATTCGTCTTATTCGCTTTTAATAACAGCAGGAAAATATCACAATGGAAACCGCGGCGAGATGATACGCCGCGAGATAAGAGGTGATTTTTTTGTTGTTCCTTGGGTTTCGGAATTGTGAGAATCGTGAGAATTCGCGCTGGCCCCCTCTGAGCTAGAGGGGGACGGGGGCGGCGGGACGACAGCGACCGCGAACTTTGGGCCCGTCTGCCCGTAACCCATGTTTACTGTGTTTTTAATTATATGGACGAGCCTGCTTCGAAGATGCGATGTCGGTCAAAAAAGTCTTCGTACACATAGTATTTTTTCAGTTTTCTATTAGTTTCTTCAGTCAGAAAGAGAAAAAGATCCTTTAGAGATATTGGTAAAATAATTAAAAAATCACATTCGACTGTACAGTATGTAATAAATCAATTTAAATCTCTTCAGGAAGTTAACTGTACGGGAAGAGTCTTCTGTTGTGAAAAAAATTGCAGAGGGAATCAGGGAAGAGTTCTCAAAAAATGTTAGACTTCAAACGATTAGAAACTGCTTGCAACGAGCAGGTTATAACGGCCGCGAGATAAATTTTGGAGGAAAAAAAATACAACTCGAACAACGAAAATGTCTGTACCATAAACTACCACATATTATTCTGGAAGCAAAAATATTTTGGAAAATTGTCACGAATAAAAGTTTATAGAGCCGTATCCTATGCTTCTTCTGGTTCAAGATTTTTTTTTGTCTCTTAAACAGTTTTTGAAAAATTATGTTTTTTGTAGACCCTTGCACGTGCTATTTTTTATTTTTTTAGAATACTTCCCGACCCCCCAGCCCCACCAATAAGTTCCGTCATGAGGCAAGGCTACATAGATGTGCCAAATATGAAGTCGATTGCTTCAAATTGTGGACACTTATCGTGTTTCATAGCAAAATTCAAAATCGCGAAAAAAAGATGGATACCGGCGTCGAATCAGAGCCATTTCTTATAAGCTTATGTGCCTCGTGGAGGGTAAAAAAGGAGGCAAATTTCAATGTTGTAGCTGCAACGGTTCGAAAGTTGTTCAGGAAAAACCAAAAGACGAGAACAGAGAACGGACAAACAAACAAAAAATTTTTTTTATTTCATCGATTTTCGAAAGTAACAAGAAAGCTTGTTTTAAGTCTTCCAAAAAGACTTAAGAAACTTTTCAATTTATCATAAGAAATAATAGTGGACGGAGACTTGTTTGATTTAGTTTCTTGCTTCTAAAACTGTGTAAAAAAGTGTTTCAAAAGATTTTTATTTTATTTTTATTATGAGGTTGCCGATATTTACTTGAAATAAATTTCCCATTAAATGTAAGTGAAAGAGGAAACGACATAAAAACTGAAAAAATACCATATCTACGGACACTTTTTTGAAAAATATGAGGAATTTAAGGACCCGTCTGACATACGTGACATAAGTGACGAAAATTCAAAATATTGATACAGAAAAAGTTACTGTAATAATTTTATAAATGAAATAATAAAAATAATAATAAAAAAAATAAATATAAAATGATTGAAATTAGGTTTTGCAGATCGATGAGAGGGGCGGAAAAATGAGTAAAATAACTAAAAATGACTAAAAACTCGACTGGTGATTGATGTTATTCTAGAGTCACTCCTTTGGACCTCCGAACAAATGTTGCGACCTCAACACTAATCACCGATTACCAAGTGAATTCTTCACTGATCAAAAGGCTCTTGGTAGGCGAGTTTTGTACAGGCAATTTTCTTTCAATAGTCCCTATTTTGTAGGCCAAACTAACACTTACTTACCCTCGAACTCAGTACTCCCTTGGGATCAGCGTTGTCTCCTCCCTTGTTCCGGTAACCTTCTTGGTCAGGATACGAAAACTCCGATTGTTCTCCCCCCGAGGGGGTAGCGTCGAATCCATTGGAAAACGGGGAGTAAAGGGGAGAAGATCGTTTGGCGTCCAGGTTGAGGGGATAGTTCTGACCAAAGGGCGAGCCGCCGGAGGTCTGCGGTTGACCTTGAGGTAGTTTAGGGCCCGTCGGCTGACTAGAAGGGGTGATCGTTATGTTCCCGAAGGTGGTACTCCCTTTGGGGGTGTCGTTTTTCGGGGACAGAGGTGTCGACGGCGGGGTGGGCGGTTCGCTGAGCGGCGTCGTCGCTTTTTGGGGGTTGAGGGTCAGGTTCTCGAAAATTTTGCCTGGAAAAGGGAGCGCTTTTAATATTACGCTAATTTAGTGTGGGAACGTGTCATTTTTTTTTGACGTATGCAAGAAAATAATAACTAATTGGGATCTAGAAATGTTCACTTTGAATTTCACCAATATTATTTGCAAACTGCGCTTTAAATTCCTCAAGATGGACTCCGAAATTTTACAAAATGTCAAAAAATCGCCAATTTCCGAGAAGAACGCGTTTAAAGTCGACATAAATCAAAGGATTTTCAACTACACTGTGCCGGGCGTATATCTACATCGACTAAAAATAACGTTTTCAGAAATTACATTCATTGACGATTATCCGGCTTGCCGGGGAGCACATGGCTTCCAGAAATCGCGAGTATTAAGTTTCCAGTTTCACATTTTATTAAACGCATCTTTATTGTACGTTTTTCCATTCCTGTTAGGTCTCGACCCGCGTGCGGTTTTAGGCCTGGGTCGATATAGTATCGACAATAATCGATAATAATAATTTTTGCTAGACCTCGCCTTTATGCACCGTATTCTCCATTATAATAAAGTCTATGGGGGGTTAGGTTCTGGAAGGCATCCGGCAAACATTAAACACTGTAGCAATATGAAAAAAATATTTGCAAGGAGCTTTTTTTGCGGTAGCAAAATCGACTTTGATAAGTTTTCCTTTCTGCAGAACCAAAGTGACATATAATAAAGTGACTTTACTGTTGCAGTGCATAGCTTTTGGCAACTGCAGATTTTTTTTTATGGATTTTAGCAAATCATATGTTCGTGTTAGTTAAAACTACCCACTGGTGTACTAAAATGTTTTTGTCACTAATAAAATTTGATTAGATTGTAAAGAAATATTATCCAGCTTCGCAGGAATATTATGTTTTTCGATTATCATAATCAAAAAAGTGTTTAAAAATACCAGTAAAAAAATTATGGACCTCGATTATACTTTAAAAGCTTTTCTCGATCTCAGATAAAATTGAATAGACAAAACAATTTCAAAAAGTTTGGTACTCACCAAAGTGAAAAATGTCATGAAATCCATTGAAGACTTATCCTAATCATATCGTTAACGCATAAGCCCAAAGACGAAGAATTATTTGGAATGTCCAATAACTTATCGTTTCGCCACTCACGCGAGGAAAGCTGACAACAATAAGACGAAACTAAATTTTCTCTTGATCTCTTGATTTCTCCACACTTAATAAAACATCTTAAGTGCTTTAGTACTTAGTTAGGGCAACGTGGTACATTTTTTGGATATATAGAATAAAAACAGTTAGCACAACTTTTTTTCCTGAAAGAGGAAACAAGAGTCGATAGACTAAATAGAAGACTATAATCATTTTCTTCATTTGGCTTCTCATTTTGGTATGAAAGCGGTTGTGAAGTTTAGTTGTGTGTTCATCTTCCTCTTTATATTGAAATAAGTGATTTTGAAGGTTATAAAAATTGCTGATATATTTTTGGCTACTTAGCTGACTTTGTAGCTCCCATATCAACGAAGTTAAGTTCTTAGTCTAAATATAATAATCATAAAATAATAAACCTTCGCTCAGCACAACATCAACAAAGACTTTTAGAACTGAAAGGCCGATTTAGGCAACAAGCATGGGCCAAGGGTGCCAGACTTCGAAGATATAATGAGCTCTCTATAAGAAAAAAACAGAACTCCGAATTTACATCGAATCGGAAAAAATTCTTTAGGAAACTGGAGAGCAAAGAAAAAGACAAAAAAGAAACACAAAAGCATAAACCAGACCTTAACGCGTTTGGCGATTACTGGAGAGATATCTGGTCAGGACCAAAGCAGTTCAGAGAGGACGCTGACTGGATAGCTGAAATTGAACAACGCGCACTGACAATTAATGATATGACTTTGGATCATATAACAGCACTGGAAGTCTCCGCCATCGGACAGACTGCATAACTTCTGGATAAAATATTTTCCGGCCTGGCTCAATGTTTTACTGGACGAACCACTAAAGTTTCCTAATTTTCTCACTGAGGGGAATACCTATATGATATTTAAGAAGGGCAACCCCACCAAACCAAACAACTACCGCCCGATAACCTGTCTATCAGTGATATACAAATTATTTACCTCCATAATTAACGACAAGATATATGAACACTGCACAACAAACGGAATCCTAGAGGAGGAGCAAAAAGGCTGTATCCGAGGATCAACTGGATGTAAACCTCAATTAATCATTGACGCTGTAGTCCTAAAACAGGTTAAAACTAGGAAAAGGAACTTAAATATATGTTACATTGACTACAGCAAAGTTTCGACTCAGTCCCTCATGATTGGCTCATAAAAGTGCTAGAAATATTGGGTTGTTCGGAAAGTCATTTCGTTTTTTTTGGGGAACATGAAAGACAGTTTTCGTATAATGAATAAATATTTTATTAAATTATATATTGGCCATTCTGGTCCGACACCTTTTGCCATCTTTCTGGCAGTAACATAATTCCCCTCTCATAAAAGTTTTGGTCCTTGCTGGCAAAAAACTGGTTCAGGTGGTTTTTGACATCTTCATTTGAGGTAAAGGTTTTGCCATCCAAAAAATTTTGCAGGGACCGGAACAAATAGTAGTCGGAAGGCGCCAGATCTGGAGAATATGGTGGATGTTGCAGTACGTCCCATTCAAGCTGTAAAAGTTTTTGGCGAGTGACCAAACTTGTGTGAGGTCTCGCATTATCCTGGTGGAACATTACACCTTTCCTGTTGATTAATTCGGGCCTCTTCTCTTTAAGTGAATCATTCAATTTGGCCAGTTGATGACAATAGACTTCTGAATTAATCGTTGTATTGTCCGGCAAAAGCTCAAAAAAAAACGATTCCTTTGACATCCTACCAAACGGAGAGCATCACCTTTTTTTGGTGAATGTTGGCTTTTGACACGCTTTGAGCCGGTTCATCTTTTCTGCTCCATGACCTCTTGCGTTTAACATTGTTGTATACAACCCATTTTTCGTCCCCGGTAATAATCCGCTTCAAAAATGGATCATTTTCTTGACGCTTGAGGAGCGAATCACACACGTCAACGCGACGACACAAATTTCGCTCCGTAAGGACATGGGGCACCCAAACATCGAGCTTCGAGGTTAAGCCCATGCCTTTCAAATGGCCATAAACAGTCGAATTCGACAAATTTAATCTCTCACCGATCTCTCGTGTGGTTATTCGCCGATTTGCATCAACTAATGCCTTTATCGCATCTTTGTCAGCTTCGACCGGCCTTCCAGACCGCGGTGGTGCATCTTCGACATCAAAATTGCCGGATCGAAATTTTGCAAACCAGTTCTGGCACTGGCGTACTGTTAACACGCCTTCTCCATACACATCCGTCAATTTTTTTCTCGCTTGGACAGCATTTTTACCTTTTCTGAAGTAAAAAAGTAAAATATGACGAAAATGCTGCTTATTGCTCTCCATATTTAAAAGGGCACCGACCAAAAACTACTGCGTAGAATTAATAGAACTTTTTCACACACAAGCCTTGCAATATCAGCTCTCAAGACATATAATGGTTACGCGGCTTAAGTGTGAAGTTGGTTTCGAAAAAACGTAATTAAGTCCTCTGACGGGAAAAAACGAAATGACTTTCCGAACAATCTTATATATAACATATGCCCCAAAGTGAGAAATGTGCTTAAACACATGATGGGCACATGGAAGTACAACATTTTGCTAAACAATAACAGCGCTGGAAAAGTAAACATAACTAGAGGCATATTTCAGGGTGACGCTTTATCGCCGTTGTGGTTCTGCTTGGCGATGAACCCACTGTTAACCCTTCTGAATGACTCCCGCGTTGGATATAAAATCAACAATTGAGAAAGACAAAAGCTATCCCATTTGCTATATATGGACGATCTGAAGGTTCACAGTGAGAGCCGAACGGGACTCCAAGCGCTGATTGAAACAGTGAGGACTTTCTCACAAGACATCCAGGTCACAGCTATCAATTCCTGGGCTATTCCTGTTCTCACGTACACTTTTGGGATATTGAAATGGTCCGAATCGGACCTTAATGAGTTAGACAGAGTCACGAGAACTCGCAATTATGAAAAACACTGTCTCAAACTCAACGTGGAGGACAACTGCAGAAAATGTGGCTCATTTGGAGAATCAATCGAACATATTATCGCCGGGTGCCCTGTTCTCGCTGAGAGCGCATATTTGGACCGTCATAACCAACTTGCTAAAATTATCCACCTCCAACTAGCCTTAATGTATGGCCTTCTAGAAACATATCAACCGCATTATAAATACCAGCCCTCGGCTGTACTCGAACATGGCAGAGCTGTACTGTACTGGGATAGACCCAACGGATAGAACAGTGAACCCGATATCGTTTTTATAGACAAAGAAAAGAAAAATGCCCTCATAATTGATATCGCTGTTCCACTCTCCCACAATATCAGTAAAACTGAAACAGAAAAAATACAAAAATACGAAATTTTTTAAAATAAAGTGTTTATCTATCCATTTGTAATTTCCGTGGAGGGAATTGTCTCCAAAAACTTCTCCAAAAATTTAAAAGACATCGGACTTCCACCGAACATCGTGGAATACGGACAGACAGACAGACAGTTCAGAGAGCCCGCAGCAAGCAAAGCCTCGGGTGATAACAGACCAGTGAGAGCTGAGATGTAATCGTATAATAATAATAATAATTATAATAATAAATAGACTTTATTCTGTTAATATGTTCATATACAGTTATGCTTACACTTTTGATTATAAACACATCAGTGCCAAACGAACGAAGATAAAAAAGGTATTATTAGAGTGAAAAATATAACTAACCATAACCGAGTTAAATGGATATAATAAGTTAACAGACAAATATTCAAAAAGATATATAACAAAATTACAAATAAAAATTGTAAATTGAAAAATGCTATTTTAAATAGATGTTCGATATCTGTCGTGAAAAATGTGTTGCCTAAGCTCTTTTTTGGTTAATGAGATGACTGATAGAGAGGGCGTTTAAAGCAC